AATAAAAATTTATTGAAATGGCTTAGATTTAGTTTTAGAGTAATTTTTTTTTTCAATTTTCATATATCATGATGTAATTACTTTATGAATATTTTAAAAATAAAATATTTTAATTTTTTTAATAAAAATTTATTGAAATGGCTTAGATTTAGTTTTAGAGTAATTTTTTTTTTCAATTTTCATATATCATGATGTAATTACTTTATGAGTGGAAAATTTTTTAAAAGATTGTATATAATTTAAAAAAAATTTTCTAACATGTATTTTGTTAATTGTAATGAAAAAAATTAAACAAAAAAATTAGTTATAATGTCATCTTAAATTGTGAATTTATAATTGTGACTAAAAGCTAACTTTATTATTAAAAACATCCACACAGTCGTTAAAAATGAAATTAATTTTTTTATTTTTTTAAATTAATAGACAAAATTTGCAATTAATATATCCTTAATTTGGTTAGAAAAGCCGTTGAACAAAATGAAAATTTTCATTAATTAATGAGGAGTTGGAAGTACTAAACACTTATTCAAAATTAATTAATATTTACGAAGAAATTAATTAGCAGATGTATTGACAAAATCTAACATCAAGATGTTAGAGAGATGTATGCATACCTTCCAAAATATATAAGCTTTAATTTCTTTTCAATGCTTCAAGCTGAGGGAAAGAGGAGAGGAGGGTTACGAAGGTTGTAGAGAGGATAAGGCCCTTTCAGTTGAGCCTTTGATTCTGCAAAATTTGATGAGATTGATTAGCCAATGGAGAAGATTATAATTATTTGTTAATATAACCATGAAAAATTGAAATTTAACATTTAAACCAACAAAGAAAAAAAAAATTGAGGTGAGAAGTATATATATACTTCAATTTGGCCTAGGGAGAGAAAGGGAGATACACAACAATAAGGATGGTGACAGTTTGCAAAAGAGAAGGATCTAAGCAGTGGAAATTTGATTGTCTTGGTCATGCAGTGGAAACAATTTGGCGAGACTGAGAGCATATGCAATTGAGACAATACATGAGACACCAACCCCAACTTTAAAATTACTAGATTAACTTTAATATTCAGTACCATAATGGTCTCTTTAACTTTTCAAATAATTAATGAATAAATCACTTTTGAACTAAATTAGAGAGTTTTTTATTATACAGAACAAGTGATTCAACTTATAAAGGATAGAGATAAAGAAAGGATTATGTAGATTCAAATTCCCATTAATGCATGAGAAAATCTTTTACACTTAGAGATTTAACTAGTAGGCTTAAAGGCCCTCCACACAAAATTAGAGAGTTAAAAGATAAAAAAAAAAAATGTTCAAAAAACTTAAGGGACAAATTTTTGTAAAATTTGAAAGTTCAGGGAAAAAACAGTACTTTAAACCCTAATTATTTCGTTGTAAAGAAATATTAATGGACCCACAAAATGATAAGAATATTAAAATAATTAAAAATTTAAAAAAGTGAGAGAGAGATTGAGAATTTAAACGGTTAAAAAAGACGACAAGACAGAGTTGGACGATTCTTCCTGGAAAAGCATCAAACCGTGTTTTTTCCATTTCACCTAATTGCTATTGGTTGCTTTTCTGGAAAGCATCAAGTCGCTTTTTTATTTAATCCTTTATTTATTGGGTTAAAGAAAATCAAAACCTTTTAGTATTTAAAATATTAACAATGATAATAAAAAAAATTAAAATATTTTTAATAAATTAATATATAAAAAATTTTATTAAAAATATTTTAACTTTTTTTGATA